CCTAAGAGTTCTGGGGTCATATTTATGGACTGTGGGGGCCATGAATGCACTTCCCAGAATCTGAAGTGAGAATCACACTCGCCCTGCATTTCTTTTTATTTCTGTTACACTCACCATGGGATCCCTGGTGTGAAGGGAACCGATCTCTAGAGGTGTTCAACTGGCCATCCTCCCGCACGCAAGGCATCTCACGTAAATAGACTCATAAAAGGAATTACAACAAATGTGAGTGTGAGCTGGTATGTTGGTGAAAACTTCTTGTTAGAAAACAGAACTCTGAACACATCAGCTCAGGCAAAATAGGACATTTATTGGCTCACATGACTTGGAAGTTCAGGGATGCACTGGCTGCCAACCCCAAGGGAAGAGAGGTATTCTGATTACTCTGGCAGAAAAGTCCTAGGGAAGATTCTGCTTACAAGTGCATTGATGGACTGGCAAAGGAAAATTGCATGATTGCACGTCATATTCTATTATTTACTACAAAAATCACTTGGTGACTAATATTCTATTTTGTTTTCTGATTTTCTCTTCCTCTCCTCTTTTGTGGTCTGGGTGTTTATCCTTAAATATCCTTAAATATAATATGTTTTCTATTCCTTTTTCACTAATCATGGCTCTGCTTATATCACATGCCTGTCTTTGAATCTTTCACCATGACCAGAGTGACAAGAATATTGATTGGTCAGCCTGGGCCACATGACCACTTTTACACTGGGAGGAGGGGGGGGCATCATTTTTCACGGATCCGTCAGGATAACGGGAACTGGGAAGGATGCAGAGGCAGACGATATATGTCTACTCCACCCATCCCTGTGTTGTACCTTAATCTGTTGAGAAATGTATTTGTTGTGACTAAGCTGATTCCCTTTGGCTTAGATTCAATCCTTTTCCTCTCCGCCAGCTGGTCAGAATCCCTTCATGATTCTTCCTCAATAAAAGGCAATAGTTAAACAGTTAATGATTCCTGAGAAGTTACATTATTTCATAGCCTTTACAAATTTAGCAATGAGAAAAACAATCCCCATTTCCATTAAGTTTTCCCAGGTGGCATTTCTAAGTCTTTTGTCATCTTCATAGATCGGATAGACAGTATTTTCTTTTATGTTTCTGCCTTTTTCTAGTTCAGGATTCCAAATGGAACTGATGTGAAGGATATAGTATAGGAAGGATATTGGTAAGAGAATAGGAATTTCAGGGTCAACTGACTTGTGTTCAAATCCCACTTCAACCACTTGCTTAGGAAAATGAAAATAAAATTGCTATTTTTTTCATTTATCATATAGACAAACATTTTAATATTGATGTGCTACATATCTGGGTGTTTTTTTTCTTTCCTGTCTTGCATCAATTTCTTCAGCTCCTTTGCAACAATATTATGTAAATTTTGCATCAAGCCTTATCTAAATCCACGTATACTCTTAAACTGCTCAGTTACATGAGCCAATGGATTCCCTTTTTAAAAAATCCTTACCCAAGGATATGGTTTTTTGTTTGTTTTTTTATTTTCATTTGAGAGAGAGAGAGAGAGAGAGAGAGAGAGAGAGAGAGACATACATACATTGATCGCTTGCCTCCCATAAATTAATTCTTTATTTTTACTCTCAACATGGTTGTGAAAAGAGTTAAATCCGAAAACCAAGAACATTGAAATGCCTAAGTCCAGAGTGAGTCCAAATATTTGGCCACATAGAATATTATCATCTTTAAGAGTAGGAGTAATAATAAAGGCTTTTAAATGAGTCTTTAATTCATAAATACAATAGGCATTATTTTGGCTACTGGAAAACAAAGGCTGTAGCATCAGTAAAGGTCTGTGATGTCTCATTTTTGAGGATTCAGGTTAGTGTATTTAAGGTAACTGAAGGTGACAGCAAGAGTTATAGAGATAGGCAAAAATTCACATTAGAAAACTTCCTATGTTGAGTAACAGTGGCCATTATGATTCCAGAAGTTAAAAGTGATTTCAGAACTTATGACTTCAGCTTGGCAAACAGCTCAGACTCCAAATCTTATTCCTCCCTATTAAAATGTGAGCCCTTGAAAAAGGATGTGTCTGTATATATAGATATATGTATGAAAATAATAAGGTGATCTTTGGAGTTGCCTTAGTGTTCCCTTTATAGCTGTCTTGAAATGACCATGGAATTAGCTTCATGAAAAGGATTAGCCAGCTTCTTGTCTAAGGCTACCACGGGGACCATTTGTCTAAGGCTAGAAAGGTACCAACATGACATAAACTGTACGGAGAGAAGGAGAAGATGAGAGCTTTTCCTGGCAGTTGGTAGCTAAAAATCAAGAGATTCTGAGAAAATGACACAATGCAGCCTTTCTTGTCTTTTTCTTTTCGCGTTGGTTCTGGTGAAAGAGGACATTCCTGCTTTTGAAATTTCTTCCTACGCTGGGCAAGTTGATGCAGAGCTTGATCTGCACTCATCCTAACCTTTGCTGACGCCTCCATGTAAGTCGCCTTCAGATGTATGCTCACTGCTGTCCTTCCTGGGTCACCTGCCTTTGATCATCCAGATCTGCGTGGTTACCAATTAAAATCATTGAAAATGCATCACAATCCTTTTCTCTGAGAATCTGTCTTTGAAACTTACAGATTTCTTCAAAACTGTCTCTGTGACTGAAAAGACCAACAGGAAAGCCTCTCATATGTTGTTTCTCAGAGCTCCAACTCTTCTTGTCCTGCTCTGTGTGGAATATCTAGCCTGACTGCTCAGTCATCTATCACACACTGCTGTGTGTAGGGATCCTGATGGTTGGATCATAATCCATTACAAAATAGGACCTTGTGGACTGGATGGTGGACACCAACTTGCCCACACTGCCCCACCAACCACCACAATCTGGTACTTCTGACCGAGCTATACCGCCAGATGGCATGGCTATGGAGATGCCACCTCTGCCACACCTAGTAGCCACCCACCCTAGGCCTAGCTCTGAGGATGTGTGCGGCTGGTGGGCTGCGGGTAAGCAGCCAGACAGGGGTCCCCAGGGCCTGGAGCTGCCCGGAAGGCCCGTTCATGAGGTGTGGCGCTCTGGCTGGCTAAGTCCTGCCCGAGGTGGAGAAGCAGGGTGACCACAGGCCAGGGGCAGCATCAGCCGCGGGGCATGCTAATCCACACGTCTCAGCAGTGTCTCACAGACTCTATTTTAAAAGGATAATCCAGAATCACCACGATTCTAATGTGATTCTCAGATTCCCAAATTTAATCCAAGTTTCCTTAACTCTTGCTCCATAAATAGGCACAGTGGAGCTCAGTGTGGGTAATGACCAAAAGTTTTTGGCTTTTGCCCCAAATTGTATGAGTCAGCAAACACTGCTCTCAAGTCCTGTCCACTGACTGAAAAGCGCCTCAGTGGTCACGTCTCAGAACTGTCACTGATGCCAGGGCCTGGGATGGCAACACTGTGCTCTCCAAGTGATACCCAAGATGCCGAGCCTGACTGCATGCCCTTGAATCTTCTCTGTGTTGAATCCATACAGCAGTGAAGAGAAGACCCCTCTCCCCATCTGGGTTACACCTAATTCCCAAGTCCAATGCGCTTGGAGCAATATCCTCAGGTTTCTT